TTTGTTGGAGGCAGGAGAATTCGGAGGATGATGTAATGCTTTTGGGTAATCAGGAGAGATGGAACATTGTTTTGGGGGATTTGTGGATCCAACGTGGGTTTTGTGTATAGGTATTGAAGGAATTGAACTGCGGAATAAATTATTTCTGACAGTGGAAGTGTAGAATTAGGTTTAATTCTAAATGTGTAGGAAAATTTTGATTTAAAGATGTAGTTATGGGTAGGATGTTTATTTTGGAGAAGTAATTTTCAAATATAGTTAATAGCCAGTTTTTCCTTTCTAAATAAAAGAGGTGGTACTCCCCCTCAGAACAGAGATCGAGGATGGGGCTTGTCCGAAATGTGCCAGTCGTGATCCTAATCTCTATATGTTGACTGCATTGAGTTTATTCAGAGTTCCATAACGAGCAGAACCTACAAAGCACCCATAATCTAATTTTTAGGATGCCTAAGCGCAACAGTTTCAGTGGCGTGAGTCTGTCGGAGCCTCTGGTAGTATTGCTCAGATATCTTAGTGAAGCTAATCTTAGTGGCTGTTTTTATTGTAGAGATATGTAGTTCCGAGATTAGTTTTCGGTCAAAAGTCATGCCCAAGAATGTTGGTTCGAGTATAGGATTGAGGAGTTGCCCTAGGTAGATTTCAGATGAGTTAAAGGCGTTTCTTTTTCTACTTAAATGAAGGCATTTAGTGGAAAAATCGAAGACCAATGGAAAGGGACCAGTTATTGATTCTATTAGCAGCGTCCTGTAATTTGGATTGTATAGTGGAAATGTTCTCAGCTCGACAAAATATAGCTAGATCATCTGTGAACAACAGTGACTTGACACCAGACAGAATAGAGTTGGGCAGATTCGTAGTTGTAACCTTGCAAGATTTATGTTAGGATAATTGTTATAATATCAAAAATTTATTTTTTTGCATTACTGAGATATTTTTTCAATTGGAAAGGTTGCTCTTTTGAAAGTAAACTCATCATTAATGTACATTGGATAGGATCATTTATCAGATGTGATGGTTCTCAAATCATTCGCAATCCTTTATTCACAATACTTGTTTAAATCTAATTTCACTTGCAGTGATAAAATAATTATCACGTTATAAGAAAATAATAATTATCAAGTTAAAAGAAAATTCTTAAAATATAACCACTAAATAATTTTTACAATGAGATATTAAAAATTCATTCGCCGGCCTGCTAGTTTAAAAATGTTTTAACTGTCCATCCTTATTTGGTGAAACATCTCACAAGAGTTGGAGTTTCCTTGGGCTGCTACCATTTCAGATTTATCTTTTTTCTCCAGATTCCTCACTCTTTTACAGATTCAAAATTTTATCTTTGAGGGAGGCAATGCTGTTTGTGCAATAAATACTACATCTATAGAAAGAATTATGGATCTTAGAGAGTACTGGTAGTACCAAATAAACAAGTTACTTTTGTTCATTATTACAGCCGATATGATGAGCAAAACTTTAATAACCTGTTAATAATTTAGAGGTTTGTCTTTGAAAAAGTTTATGTGATAGTTATAAAAGACAAGTAACAAACAAAAAAAGATTTTAAATTAATTTTATTATAAAAGAACCACAAAAATAAATAAATGATCCACATTCGATAATATATTTTACAGATTTATCTTACAATAAATTTGTACACAAAGTTAAACTTATCTAAAAATTGGCAGGCCTTAAATCAATTACATACTTCAAAAATAATATATTATTGTCCTATCATAATAGAAAATTTAAATATCTACATTATGATACAAACAAGAAAAGAATTAGCACTTTTTTTTTTTAAACATTTCAGAAATTTCATACACCTTAATTATTTTTGTAATATGTCTACTGATTAATTCAAAAGCTCTCTTCTATATTTAATGGACAAATAGATCTGGCAGTCAGATACCACATAATTAAATAGTATCTATTCTATTATAAAAAACTTCTAGAATATTATTATATGATTTTTCTATTAATAAAATTTTCTAAATTACATAATTGAAATGCATTTTTATCAAACAAATTAAAATTGATATATTTCTATTATGTAGTATTGACTTTATATTAACATTCACAGAAATATACAGGGTGCCTTAGTTTTTGATGGAAAGATCATGAGATAAAATTACATTTACAGGGCGTCGTTAGGAACGGGCCAAACTCCAGGAGTTGATTGCATTAAGGAAAATAATATTAACACTGATATGCTCATATCCAATTGATTATATAAGTTTTATTACAAATAAACCAAATTGACTGTGTAAATCAACCTTTGTAATTCATGAACTGTAGTGGGTGGCTTACATACTCCAGCCTTTCTCTGACTGTCTCAATAATTTTCATTACTGCTTTTGTGTTATGTATGAAAAAAACTTTCAGTTTGGTGGCTGTTAGCCTTTATTTAGTTTATATAAATGTTATTTAGTTTAGACTAATTATTTTAGTTAAAAATTAGATTAAATAGAATTATTTCAGTTAGTTACATGGCCATATAAACTTAATTATTTTAGTTAAAAGTTAGTTTTTTTTTTGTTTCTTTATTTTCTTTGAAATGAAATGTACTACTATCGAAATTGGTGATGAATTCTTGCCATCTCGACTTTTAGAAGGAATATAAAAAAATGCTGAGTACCGAATATTTTTGTTCTAAAAAATTATTCAGCACAAAAGTAGAATGTCATGATTGTGAGGTTGATTTATCTGTGTAGATAAATTCTTCGGAGAATAACAAAAATTAATTTACTAAATAAATATTCAAGCATAAAAAAAATTACTCTGCCAGTGTTAGTCCATAGTCCAAATAAAAAGGATGGGAACAATAAAATAGATTAACAGATAGTAGTAAAGAACCGGTAATGAAGGATGATACGCAGGCAAAAAGTATGTATCAAGGGCCGGTACGTGGGTAGCCGTCTAACTTAGTGCTGAGATAGATGATGAGCATCAGTGAAAAGGTTAATAAATGTTTACAAATATCACCATTGAATTTAAACATTTTCAGCTTCATATTCAATATTGTTTAATTAGTTCTTTAATTTTAGAGACTCAGCTCACAGGAGGATACTACTTTTTACGATTTTAGTTACAAGGATTATTAGAGGATGTTCTTCTTAACATTAGAACGTAAATGCACTTTCAACATGACGGAGCTTCCGCTGATTTTGCTTGACAGGTGAGATAACAATTGAATGGAAGGTTTCTGGATTGTTGGATTTGTTGTGGTGGCCCAATGAGTTGGGCTCTTAGGACTCCAATTAGATAACTTAAGACATAACTTTTTTAACATATATTAAAATAAGAATTCAATAACCAAAATGCTAATAGGTATATGAAATATTATTTATTAGTGAAACTTTGTTTATTTGTAAGTAGTCAATAAAATTTAAAAGAAAGTCAGATAAGAATATATGATTTTTTTCGAGTATTTTTCCTGTGTTTAACCTACTCCTGGAGTTAGACCCATTCCTGACAACTTACCCTGTATATATCTATATATACATAAAATCTCCAGAATATCATAAATTAAGAGTGGACAATGGTGGAATAAAGCCAGTCCTGTTGTATGGATGTGAAACCTGGGGTCTGACCAGCATCCTCGAAAGCGGAATTGAGAGATTCAAAATAAAATGTATAATTTCTTCTGATACAAAAAAAGGTCCAATAAATGTTTAAAAAAAAATACAAGGTATCAGGTTGGAAATATTGAAAAAGCAAAAAAAAAAAATATCTTTAAAATAAATTAATATGAAAACAAAAAAAAAGAGACTAGTTATTTCTTTGAAGCTTCTAAGTTATTCGATTGATTCTCATGTTTGTCGATAGACATCCTGTATAATTATAATTTTCAGTATATAATAAGTATAACACACAAGTACTGTTCTTTTCTTTTAATATATAACATCAGACTTATAAAAGTTACATATATTATTACTAACAAAGTATTAATCATAATTACCACAGTTTATAGATACAATATTTACAAAATTTATCAACCGCAATCGCACATCTTTATTAAATCTTTCAATTATTAATTAAAAATAGTCTTAAATTTGCTGCATATAGATATATATATAATCAATTATAACCTAGGGTAGGTTAGGGGTTTTAGGGCGATAAATTTTAAGATTATTATGCCCATCAATTATAACTTTTGGAAAGAGTAAATGAAAAGTATTTATCACAGTTTCATTTTTTAAAAATCAATGTTAATTCGAGAAGGTCTGAGGAAGATGAGAGAAAAGCAAAAACCTCTATTGACTTATCAAGCAAAGTCCATCATTATAGTGTTCCTTTCTATTTCCTTATATCTAAAAGTCATATTTTTTTGGTGTCGACGTTGTACATCAGAAAAAAACTGATGCAACATTTTTTCAGAATAAATATTTCTCAGTACGGTGCTTTCTCATTTTTCTAGAGACCTCCTTGATTGTTATTTGATTTTAATTATAAAAGTAGAAGAATAAACAATTACATACATTGTTGTCTGTTTACATATTTTTGAGTTTATAGGCACAATTCTGCCTAAACCTATTTTCAAAAAAATTAAAATGGTAACTTAATAATAAATTACACTAATTCGTCAGATTTATAGAATGGATGCTTCAACATATTTAGAAGCAACAGTGATTCTCAAAACATAAAAAAAATAAATTAAATTAATATCATATGTATTACCCTTAAAAGGTATAATAAATCACATATTTTAGCCAACCAAACAATGGGAATGAACTCATCCCCCTTCGATTTAACATCCCATGAAGAAAAAGAGAAAATTAATTCATGTGTTATTAATTTAAATATGTTTTTATGATTTAGTTTTAAGGTTTTTCAGACAAAAGAAAACCTTAGCAATAAAAATAAATAACTTCCAATAATTACAAAATATTTGTTTCTTTGTACAAAATTTGGCTATAAAAAGAAAGTGAATAAAATTTTATATAAAATTATAACTTTTACATTTGTTATGATACAATTCATTCAAGTTACTTATTTTACTCATATTATGATTCAGGATGAGATACTTTAGGTTTCTTCCATCCCAATCTTCTAGCCCTTTCTCTGTTTGATTTAATAAGGAGATTATGACCTGGACAGTCAAGATTTTCAGTGTAGCATTTCTTTTTACAGCACACCTTGCACATGAAATGCAGGCACTTGAGACCCTAAAAGAATATTTAATAAAAATGCATTAGAATTAATAAATAATTAATACTTTTTTTTTTATAGGTTTCTAACCTGTAAGCCTTATTTACTTAATAGGGTTTTAATAAGGTATAACTTCACACAATGAACAGCAAGCAGAAGCTGAGACTTGTAATCTTTAAGTTAATAAACAAATGTAATGAGTGTTCAATTTTGCAATATTATTTTCGTATATTGGGCATATCCAAAAATTTTTGAATAGAATAATAGAAAATTTACAAAAACCAGATAACAAGAAAGAACATTAAAGTAATGATATAAAAAAATGTATCATTTCATGTATGATAACTAGAGAATGGATTTTTTGTCATTATTTTTAATAATATTATAGAACAAGTAGTAAAAAGTTTCAGCATATGCAATTCAATGGCACAATAATACAAATTTTATTTTCATACATCACAAATTAATAAAAATCACAGCAGTGAAAACAATAAAAAATCCACACTGCTCCAAGATTGTAAATAAGGAGTAGTAAAATGTAGCATTTATGGTTGATGTCATTGATTAATGATATGTTATTCAAGTTTAATCATAACTATTATGGGATGATAACAATCTACAAATAATTTCTGATTCACAGGATACCGGTATAGATAAAGTATAAAAAAAGGAACAACTGCAAATCAAACTTTTTTTTTGTAGGGAATATAAGTATCAATGAATCTCTTATTATTATCTTTTTTGGTCTATAATTGTAATAATTGGTCTATAACAGGAATTTTGATAAAACAAGAGTTAATGTGCAAACATTTGAAATTTGGGTGAAATTGGATTTAGGTTTTACATTAACAGTTAAAAAGGCTCGCTCCTCCTCACCCCATTATTATTATTATTATTAAGAAGAAGAAGAAGAATCAACTTTATTCTGGGACAAAGTTCCTTAAGAATAACAATTTTGTACATAAAAATTAACATTCCATCTGGCCAAAATACATATTACAATAAAAAAAAAAAAAAAAAAACTAAAAACTTATTATTATTATTATTAGTTCCATAAACATGTAGCTTATCAGTATGACATGTTGTAATGTATATAATAAAAAATAAATAAATAAATAAATTAAAAAAAAAAAAAAAATATTATTAGTTAGTTAGCCTCAATAGCTAATAGAGTGAAGACATTGGCCCTTTTAACTATGAATGTGAAACCTACCATGATTTACTTACTATGTAGTACAACCTAATTTAAAAGTTTTGTATGTTGGCTCTTTTGTTTCAACGTAAAGATATTATCAGACTGTTTTATGTATAAGTTGGTTATTTTTTTTATCCTTAAGCATTTATTCTAAAATTAAAATTGTTTTTATAAAAACATTTCTTTAAAAACATGCTAAACAAAAATGATTAATTTTAGGTAATTAATCAAATGTATTAGTTTTATCATATATTTTCAGAAAAGAGGTTACAAAAAAAAAAAAAAAAATGGGCAAAATGAATATGCAATTACATAAAAATCCAGTATCTGTATTATTAATAAAAATAAATAAAATAAACTTGAGGAGGACCACTTACAACAGGATTACGACAGGTAGAGCAATTCACAACCTCCTTTGGAGGCTTTGGAGTTATCGAGAGTCCTCTCGCTAGCCTTTTTAATTTCTTCTTTGATAGAACCCTCATTTCTCCAGAGGAATCAAACATTTTCTTATCATTTTCTCTTAAGTTCTATAATAGAAATAATAACAATATTTTCAATTGAAAAATATGTTAAATATTAATATAAATGAGTACAAAAAGTCAACAAAGGACAGAAATTAGACATTAGATTAAAATTCTTCTACACAGATGGCTTTCTCACTGCCTATGGTTGAGAAGCAGGCATTAACAGAAAAGATAAACTTAAAGATTTTTTAATTCCTTTTGGCCAAATTTTCACTGTTTTTCGAAAAAGAGGTTGTGCCTCTAACCCTATATAATGACCTGAGTGGTAAAAGAATCACAATCTATAACCCAACAACTATTACACTAAATCAAAGTTTGCTAAAGACAGCAAAGAAATTCTAAATAACTTTGTTGAACATAATAAAGTAACAGTTGTAGAACATAAAATAAAGAGGCTGACAAACTAGCCCAGATGGGCTCACAGGTTATTCCCTGTAGCCCTAGAAGCAGTATGTGACATAATCTTGAGCTGTGCTAAAAAGAGGATCACGGACATTTTTGGTGCTAAATTTAAAAAGTACTAGTTTGGCAAGGAACAACACCATTCAAAGCTGTTCCAAAGTGACAAAAGAAGCAAATTACTGCGCAGAGAAAGAGAGCAAACATTTTATTTGAATAACAAAACTCAAAATTGCACCAAAACTACTTGCACAAGTTCCACAAAATCAATATAGTTATTTTATATATTGTTTTTAAATAAATGTTATTTCTCAACTTTAACTTTTTCCTTCAGAAATTTCCTTTTACTTGAATAATTACTGATTTAAAAACTTAAATAATAACAAGAGGAGTAAGGCTCTTCTCTCATTTAATGTAACCTGCAAAGTCTATTTTATGTTATTTGCCAATAAACATATTTATATAATTCAAAATCAGATGTATTCCATATGGTTTGTTATGATGTATCAGCTGAACAATAATATTGTATAATTTGGTTTCTAAGGAAACACATTCACTTCTTTTTTCTCTATTAAATTACTTCTTGTCAACAAGTATCATATTAATAGCATGGAGATGACAAAATTTATTCAAATAAAATAATAGAAAGAATTGATAATAAAGTAACAAAAAAAATAAAATAATTTCTAAGAGCACTTAGATATGAATAAACTGATATTATTTTGTTATTAGAAATAAAACAAAAACTACAGGTAAATATGAGATAATCTGAAAATTCAACAAATACCTCCTTTTCTTTTTCAGCCATTTTCTTGATATGTTCGTCAGGAGGCATCCTCACATATGGCTGGCAAATCCAAGGTGGCAAATACAAATCATAACCTGGTAATTAATTTAACATGAATAAATAATCATAATAACATCAATTTTGCTGATGACTAATTAAAAATTACTAACTTAGTGCAAGTTAGTATCTTTTTTCTCTATTAAATTACTTCTTGTCAACAAGTATCATATTAATAGCATGGAGATGACAAAATTTGTTCAAATAAAATAATAGAAAGAATTGATCATAAAGTAACAAAAAAAATTCTTTTATAGAAACTTATAGAAAAATGACTTTATTTTATTTTGGAAGGAGATGTTCTGGGGTGGCGGTCATAAATAGGCTTAATTGTGACAGAACTATTTTATTAAAAGCCAACATTTCGACCCGACTTTGCAGGTTTTCTTAAGGGAGGTGGGTTCAGCAAGGAGTTTCACATAGAACAATGTCCTTGCTTACCACACCTCCCTAAAGAAGACCTGCAAAGTCGGGTCGAAATGTTGGCTTTTAATAAAATAGTTCTGTCACAATTAAGCCTATTTATGACCGCCACCCCAGAACATCTCCTTTTTTAATAATACATCGGTCAACTATTAAGTATTCAACTAATATAAAGTTGTTTGAGGGAGTCCCAATTGTGACTATACAGAACCCATGGCTTCGAGTAAAATAATTTTATTAATATAATTTTCTTTATAAAAAAAAATTACAAATATTAAAATAAGAAATGTATATGGAAAACAAGAAATGTTATTTTAGGATCTGGATGGGATTGATATATCAATAGTAAATTTTGCATGACAGGTGCTGAGATTAACAATTATATTAGCTGGATAAAAAATGAGGACGGAACTCTTGGCAGATATATTTATTATAATGCACAGATTTGAAATTAACTAAACTTAAGATGAAATGAGTTTAATTTTTTGCATAGAATAAAATATATGACAAGCCAAGATAAGTAACTTGTAAATAAAATGGTAAGATAACTACTTTAATATATTTGAAAAGTGACTCCTGAAGTGAATTTTAGGAAAAATAAAAAACAGTGATATAGCTGAACATGGCACAGACAATATTGTAAGAAAAACAAATGTATTACTAAAAATTACTATTAGATTGTTAATAACTAACTTGAATATGTTTCATTCCAAGGCTGTTGTCCTTCATGAATAGGAAGATAAGAATCTTGCAATTTGAGAACAGCATTCCTAAACTCTTCAACTGAGGAGCCCTTAGCAATTTCCTCTCTTATTCCAAAATTTTCTTGAAGACTAAAGCTGAAAACAAAAATAATAAAATATTTTCCTGTGATTGTGGCCGATCAAATATACTGCTGGTTTACTCGGATTATTTTATTTCATTTGTTTTCCAAAATGAATCAAGAAATAATAACAATCATTAAACCATAACCATTAAATAATAATCAATTTTTCAAACACATTTTTACATTTACAGCAAAGCAAAAACAATACTATTTATAGTGTTCATCAGGTTACTTAAATTGTGGAGGAGAAAGAGTTTCTTTCTGTTTCTTGGATTATTCTCATTTCCTGCTATCTAATTCTTTTTGGCAAGCAATAACAGATCAATGCACTACTGTTCTATGAATTACTAGTTAATATAGAGATACATATGGAAATATTGATATGTAATAAAAATTCAATGACTCATAGTAAGCATCTCTCTATCGAAACCTGTCCATATATATATATATTAATATATTATATTAGTTACTGTATTATATAACTGGTCATATAAATGGGATGTCTGTCACTGGATGTGGCATTTTAACTAAATAAAGTTATGATTATTATACAACTTCTTTCACTAGTTTACAAAAAAATTAATAATTAAAATGACTTAATACATAGGATATAATATTGGTATATCAATGTGTTTCAATTCTAACAGGGAGGAATTTTTTTGAAACATTTATCTATACTATATATCAATCAATTTTATTCCGAAATACTCACAGTTTGTGAAACAACTTGAAAAGATGTCCTCTGACATAAGAGTTCGGACAAGGATAAAAATCAACCAAATCCAAGTACTCGAGAGCGGGGATCCATGCAGGAACTGCCTGTCCTTCGAAGATGCATGGATTAGTTAAATGGCCTTCAGCACTCATAACTCCATCTACACCAGTTTCTTCAAGCATCCTTTTGGCATCTTCCAGACATTGTATATTACCATTACCAAACACTGGGATTCTAACACTTTCTCTGGAACAATAAAAATGTTTAGGATAAATTTATTGATATAATTTCATAAGTTACAAGAATGATAATAAATTTTAATAACGGACAGAATAGATGATCATATGTGATTGATTCTAAAAGCAATTAAGAGTGTTTTGAAAAAAAAAAAATAATAACAACAAACAACACAAATATTATGATGTACAATATTACGATATGAATTTTAGATATAAAACACACATTGCATGCATTTATTTAAAAATCTTACTTGACAGCCTTGATATGGGCCCAGTTGGCGAGGCCTGTGAGAGGACCTTTCTGCTCTCTGGTCCTACCATGCACAGTGAGCAAGCTGCAGCCTGCCCGTTCCAACATCCTTGCATACTCGACAGTTTTCTCAATACTTTCAAAAATCCGCACTTTGCAGGATATTGGTACTTTCAGCTCTCTGGACAACTTACTCACTGCAAATAAAAGTATTATCTTATAAAGTGAAATAAACAGAATGAATTGTTCACTACTTACACAATGTGAAGATGTTATATAAGATTTGAAATAAATAAAATTTTTATTAGGCATTAAATTATCTTACAAGGTCAATATTCAGCTACTATTATTAAAGCAACATCATTTAAATTATATATTGAGGGTTGGATGAGATTACAGGCAAAGGAAGGGCGATGGTTATTGAATATTCGGTAAAGGAATGTGCCTAGAAAATATTTTCTATGGAAGAAGGAGAAGAGCCGCTTTAACTCAGCATAGCAGTGAGAAACACAGGAAAGTCTTGGAGTCCAATTGACAAATCCTATAAGGCTATTCATAATTCTTAGTGTGTCTATGAGATGCACCAAGAGGTGGAAGGTGAGGGAGGATGCTTAGAGTCTATTAGTCGGTTTGGGAAGGGGATGGCGAAAGCGTTCAACAGTTGAGGGTAGAAATCAATTGTTGGAAGATATCGGTAATACGGTGACGGCAATTCCAGGATTTTTGGTCAATGATATTCTGAATGAAGGGTAGAAATTGATTGTTGAAATATGTGGGTAATTCCAGCGTAGTTTGGTCAATGATAAGGCATAAGTTTTTAGTAGGGGAATGAAAAATGATTGAATGAAAATTTAGGTGCGATTTGGGAAGATTAAAATTAGATATAATGGGTTTGGAACCAATGATAATGGCATATGTTTTAGCAGCATTTAACATTAATCTCTTTGAGCTTGGCCAGGCACTGATTCAATCTAGATGTTCTTTAATCTTGGCAAATCACAACAGATAACTCAGCAGGAGAAAACTAATGGATTTGGGAGTGGTCAGATTATGGTGGTGGGAACAGTGAAGAATTGATTTCTGGATGTTGTTGATATACCAGCTAAAAAGAAGAGGATATATGTTCGAACCCTGAGCAACTCTTAAGGGTAAGATAGATAGATAAATATTGAGTTAGGAATGGAAATTGCTTATGTATATTTAGAGTGGAGGAATTGAAACCAAAAGATCAAACTGTCACATAGGATATTTTTTATACTGATAATAAATGAACCAATCAATCGCCATGGAATTGATACAAACATAAATGTGAGGACAGACTGATATATCGGCCTTTGACATTATTTTAACATAATTCATAAAGTTTCGTGTGGAATATTATTTATAATGATAATAAATAATTTCTTCTGTTCATTTATCCTAATTATGGTGTCTTGAGGTTTTATATTTATATAAATTAGGCCAATTATCACCAAACATTTTATTGATATCTTATTTAATTCGACCTTTCGACCATACTAAGGGTCATTTTCAAGTCCTTGATGAGTCCTCTGTTATATCTTCATCGTTAATGTCGCAAATAATATGTTTAGTGAACATTAAATTGTCAAGGTCTATAGGGTTTTCACCTACGTCATTTCTGGAGGAACCATACCCTTAGTCGAATTAAGTAACGTACCAATAAAATGTTTGGTGATAATTGGCCTAATTTATATAAATATAAAAGATAATAAATAAGTTTCTCTATAAGACCGATAAAATAAAATCGGCTTTAAGATTTAATTTTATTAAGATTAATAGTTTGCTAATTTTGTTTTTTTAAATTTTGTTCTTGTCTTCTTTCAAATGTTTTTTTGCCCATTCCATAGAATGATATATGGGTCTTTGACGTTATTTTAATTTAATTTACAGAGTTTAACGTAGAATATTATTCATACGGATAAAAATGAGCCAAATCGATTGACATGGAATTGATATAAACATAAATGTGAGTAAAGACCGATATATCGACCTTAAGATTAAATTTTATCGCAATTAATAGAGTTTGATAATTTTTTTTAATTTTGTGCTTGTCTTCATCCCAATGTTTTTCGGTCTAACCCATGGACTAGTATACCAGACTTTATTTTATCATTATTCATAGAGTTTTTTCATAGAGGATTTTCATGGAATATTTTTTATACTGATAATAAATTGGCCAATCTCTACCAATCCTGAGTTTTTTTTGTTATGTTTTTTAAATTTTGTGGTTGTCATCTACCAAATGTTTTCCGGTTCAATCCATGGACCAATATATCGGCCTTTTGACTTTATTTTATCATATTTATTGCGTATGTCTTTTTTCCAATGTTTTTCGGTCCATCCCATAAACTGATATATCAGCCTTAAGACTTGATTTTATCAAAATTCATAGAGTTTCACGTGGAATATTATTTATGCTAATAATAAATTGGTGAATTTCTTATAAACCAATCTCAACTTTTTTTTTTAAATTTTGTGGTTATCTTCTTCCAAATGTTTTCCGTTCCAACCAGATAACAATTATATATATATATATATATATATATATATATATATATATATATATATATATATATATATATATATAAATTGCAATTAAAACTAAATACATTATTAATGGGCAACAGAAATATTTTTTCATAGAGTATTATAATATTACTGAAGGAACAAATAAAACAAAGGAATCCTCAATAGGCCTAAGATAATTTAATATCTTGACTTGAAAAGAATGTATTCACATTTTCAACTTGAACTGAAATAAACTTTTGAAAAATTCCAATAACTTATAAATTTATTTTTTCTCACAACAATTTTTGATGTAATGTATAAGAATCATTTCTAAATTCTAAGATCGGAAATGTATTCATTCAGAAGCTTCATTATTGCTTACCTATGTCAGTAAGGAGCGCCCATTCTTCTTGAAGGAATGCTCCATAGTGCCCTCTTTTAGCGATGGCTTGAGGACAGCCCAGGTTCAAGTCGATGGCATCACAGCAATCTTGAACCATCTTAGCAGCCTCTGAGAGAAAATGGGCACTGTTACCACAGAACTGTGAAATATTAAACAATAATTTTATATATATTATATTATAACAAATAATTAGCACAATATAATTAAGCAAGAGATGTCAATGCTAACTAACAAGATTGTGCATATTAATTTTGCAATATGTACTAGATAGATTTTACTCAATTTGGAGGCAAGCCTCCTACGAAGATGTAGTGTAATGAAATATAATCTCCTAAAGGTGGTGTATAAGTTTGTAAAATATAAATGAATAATAAGAACATCAAACCGAAGGTGAATACAATGAATTTGGGACAAGTTCACAAGTGTCATGTCTAGTTGACAGGTGAGTCAGGATTATCCTTCACACAGTACCAAGAATTCCAAAAGTAGTCAAAACTGGAATGTTTTTTGGGAATCAGAGAAAAACTGCACCTGTTGCTCTAATATAAATCTGAAACGCTGGCACAAATGAAAATAAGATTACTTATTTCAGTGATATTGCTTGTTGTACCTCCAACAAACTAACTGCTGTAATTTAGTGTTAAAGGATTATCATAAATGCGATACAAACTAAATTTTATTTCAGAGCGGGATGCATCTTTAAAGGGTGAAAGTAGATAAAAAAAGCTGAGTCTTTCTAATCCAAAATACCTCCTAATTTGATTTCTAAAACCAATATAACATTACAATATTATAGCTGCAAAGGTCCCCCTTTCATTTTTTTTCTTTCTCCCTGAGATGAACCAGTGTATTAAGGAATTATTTTTAGAATACCGAAGTTTTGCTTTCAATACCCAACATCTATGTTACTCAGACGCTCTACTAGCCTGGCAGTAAAAAATATCTGCCTTTTCTTCAGAACTGCTAAGGATAACTCTTGATCAAAACAGTATTATGTAAATATTTAATACCTACAAGCATGTATTTAATTAATATTTGCATACAATCATGCAGCAATAACTCTTCTTCGACAGTTGTCGGTCAAAAATACTCTTTTCCAGCAAATCTGAGCGATTACTTCATTTCTTACGGACATTATTTACGTGAGCAGCGTGCGGATTGGGCTTCTTTCAGTGTCATTTATGTTCACCAAGGAGAGTTAAAAAATTAATATCACAGTGATGAATAAGATCGGCAATGTTACAATGCTGCCAACCGATCAACAACAGGAACAATGACAAGACAAAGGTAGATTACGGTTGTAAGGTGATTCAACAGGAAACACATTGGAGGCGAAAGTTGCAATTTTCTTTAATTAGTGACCATTGTTATAAGGTTGGCGTGAGACAGCCAGAGGCACTTTCCATCTGCAATGGTGATCTGCTCCCAGTGCCACCTTCTCAATGATTCAACTTCGAGTCGCTAATACTTCGGTCCAAAGGCTGAATTAAATCGCTGTTTCACTTTATTCTACTTTCGAAAAGGGGACGTGGTAAGAAATACACAACAGAAAAATATTTCACACAGTTATTTAGGAAAAATCAACTATTTTTAAGATTATAAAATGGTAATATTCATTCATAATATTTATTAAGTTGAAAACAAAAACGTAAATATTTATTAAGTTAAAAAATCTGGTGTGCACGCGCATCGCACAAAGTTCACATTCTACTATACTTTGAACAGAATTTCTTGTCTAGCAAAATTGGAATGTTTCAAAAAGTTTTTGAATTTCAATTATAATTATCAATACAAAAACTCAATAAAACCATAAAAATAACACAAACCCTATTTATTATATCGATTCCAGACAATAATAACCTCTTAACTCAATAAGTCTATTTGAATCACATATCTCGAGTCGCTGCGCTCTATATAAAAATAGAGATTTGAAAGTAAATATATTTAATAATGAATAAGTATAGATCGTACTAAATCGTATCGTACATCGTACTACAGAGTAACAATTAAACAAATCGCTATCACGTTTTACATGTATTGATATTCTTATTATTTTTCCTTGACCAAAATTCAGTTACGAGCTTTCAAATATTATATCGATACGTCAAAAGACGTCACACCAATCGTAAGCTGATAATGTTGTGATTTATAATTGGATAAGAATCACCAAGCTGGATTCAGAAAAAGGAGGAGCATGCCTAGACCAAATCTTTATCATAAAAAAGTACTCGAAAAACGATGGGAAGTAATTCAGGACGTCCATTCGATTTTTTTGATTTATCAAATCACGTCTTAAGTAAATTATTGTGATAGTTATTTTCTGTCGGAAATTAATATTGGATTATAATGATTCGTAAGGAAGAAAAACAAAGAAGAAGAGGACAAATGATGGATTGGAACGCTAATACGCCGAGGGCACGACGCAATCTCAGGCATCGAGGCTTCCATCGATGGTGACAGGTAACTGACGGGTAGGGCCTCAGCAATTCGTGAGAAATGAAACAAATCTCGACTGGAATCGAATTTAATACGGAAATAATATGTTTTTAGTCGACGTTGAAATAAGAATACGAGTTGGACAGGTCAACAAAATTATTTCCATTTTAAACCATTATTAAAACAATATTTCAATCAGCGATGATTTTTCAAGCTGAGATAACTGTATGTTTATACATACTCAAATTACTCCAAATTCAGCAAATCAACAGTAAATGGTATTTTATTAGAAGTTTTTTGGGGGGTTAACATTTATTAAGTCCATTCCCGGAGGCACTGTAATACTGGGTCGACCACTATAAGCTACACCCTCTGGTTGAGGAGTTCACTCAAAAGAATTCCAAATCAGAGCTGCGGTGGGTAAAGATGGAAAAAATTTCGACGGTGAGATAGCGGCGATCCTCATAGCCTTAAGAACATTCTAGAAGGCGGGGCCAGAGCGCTGTTCTATTCATAAACTCCCAAGCAGTCATCCTCGCTGTTACAAACACGAATGAATGTTTATCGAGTGCTATATTGTTTATCGAGTGCTCCTATCCCTCCTATCTAACCTGACACACCGAGGCACCAATGTGGTCCTACAGTGGATCCCCAGCCATTGTGGGATTCCGGGAAACGTTGAGGCTGATATTCTTGCCAAGCGAGGAACAGATTTGCCTCAGCCGATACATCCAAAACCTTACGACTCAATACGGCGAATGGTAAAGATGGTAGCGAAGGAAGAAATAAGAAAAGCACATTTGGGCAAAGTGGAAGGGAAACGTTATGATTGTTTGAAGGATAATCCGATTCCAGCTGAGCTGCCGAGAAGATATGCAGTTGCCTGCTTCCGCCTGGCCACTGGTCACGATTATCTGCAGAGTCTTCTCTACAAGATAGGCGTGGCTGAGGATCCTACCTGTAAATTGTTTCATCAAGGAACAATGGATGCAGACCATCTAGACGCATAAGAAAAAAAAAAAAGGTTTGGGGAAAAAAAGAAAGATATGAACTACCTATATGAAATGATGGTTAAGTGACACGAGCAATAATACTTTAAGAGATAATTTTTAAATATTTTTTCTATAAAACATTGTTAAATTTCACCATTTTGGGGGCTTAAGCCTGAAAGCCTCCCTCCCCCACTCGTAGATCAGCCTGTGAGGGTAATGGTAGAAAAGTGAAACTGGGGAATAGCAGCTAATAACAGCTTCAACCTCTAAAGGGTCATTTTCATAGCTCACTTTTTTCATCAGTTGATGAGCAAATCCCCCATCTCCTAGCCCCGCTACAGAGTTCTAATTAACTATTTATTCTAACCTGAATGACGAGCGGGCGGTCTTCAGGACAAGTCTGCAAACATTCCTTTCTGTACCGTTGGTCGCTGATGAAGACGGCTGCGTGCAGCATGGGCGAGTAGGCGATGGTGGCGCCGTGCCTCCTAGCCAAGAGGCGCCAGGCCAGCTCGCTAGCGTCCACCATGGGCGCGAGCACCATCGCTGGCAGCTCCAGCATGTTCCACAGCTCTCTGTTCATGTCTAATCTACAAATGAAATGGATTTAAGTAAATGATCGCAAGATAATGGAAGTCATTCAGTATAATTGCAACCAAATAAATTTAGTTTGCACAAGTTAATATCATTCACAAATAGAGATAGAATTATATTTATTTGTTAATACTATCTATAAGTGTATGTTTTGGATCGTTCCAAAATACAGCACAAAAATAATCTTTGATAAAGGATTTTGGATTCAGTACATGATAACTACTTTCTGTTTCTGGACTAATTAATATACAAGGATGGGATGAGATCGGGATTCATGATCAACCATAAGATTTATTACCCTGCCCAAGGAATGGCCATGTACACACTTTTCTGAGGTAAGGTTTGTCACAAGAGAATTCCCGAGCACAAGTCAGTCTATGATGTAACAGAAAATTATACCAACAGCAGGGCTTTAACAAGGTTGGTGAGAAGAGAAGTGAACAGAAGTAATCTGCAACCGTTGAGAAAAATAACTAAATCGGCAAAAGTATACAATTTATAATAAAATATTATTTAAATTCAATGTTTTTATTTTATTTTATTTTATTGAGTATTAATACAGTCTACCACACTGAAAGGCATTGGTAAATAAAGAAATAAAAATAACCAAGTAAAAAGGGAAAAAAAATGTAAATAAATAACAAGATAAAGTAATATACAAGATAAGTAAAATAACAGATTAAAGCCGAATGATAATAAAATAAATAAAACACATTCACACCTATGTATAATATTTACATTAGCTTGGACTCTGAATCAAGCTTAGTCCCCCAATTGTGGAAGCCAAAGCAGGCCTCCAGGAGATCCCAGTGCTTCTCTCCCAGCCGCGTCACTGGTATTGTAAGCCAGTGCAGACTGATGGAGGGCACTAGAGCAACAGGCGCCCAGGACTTGAGTGAAGAATCTGGCTGGCCAGTACTCCAATATATACATATTTACAAAAGGTCGCGGGGCCACTGCCGTTTTAACCTTCGAGGAGGATTGTAGGGATGACTGGAGCTAGATAGAGACTACAGGATAAGGATGGTGAGTGAGTTTCTGGTGAAATTTGGAAAAATTTTCTGGAATTAGGTCAAGTACAAGTGGGATATTAAGGTGATTGTGTAGGGTTTTATTGGTTACATAAAAGGGAGCATCGACTAAAATTAAATGTTTAAAGTTTTATTCCTTATACCTTGAATTTATTTTGTCACTTTCTAGGATATATTTATTATACCATTTATTAGTGTGTATTGTTAAACTATATCATTTTGAACGATATCAAGAGAACTCGACGTTTTCCTCTTAAATTTCTGGACACGGTATAATGTAGCCACATTAAAACTGATAACACTTAAGACTGATTGCGCAATGTAATCAGTTAGTAATTCATTTATCGGTCTCTAAATATATTATGAACGAATGAATTCTTACATTAAAAAAAATCAATCCAATCAAAACATAACCGTTGATTCTTATAGAAGTTGGTTGGAAATTGCAGCCATTGAAGGTACACAAAAATGATTTATATTTATTTTCTTTTTGCCGATGTTTCTGTTCAAGTTTCAGACCTTTATCAGAACTGCTGGTTCACTCGTCCGAGCAGCGCTGATGAAAACCTGCAACTTTTTTCTCTAGTCTCTCCTAGATAATTTAAATAGTTTACTATATTGAAAATATTGCGTATGCAAGCATAAAACTAACTAAGTACACTTCTATTGCAATTTGTTAACACAAACACAAACCAGTTCCGTTAATTGAAGCTATACATCGGAACTCGTTGAAACAGAACAAAACAGCGCATGAGATATTCAGCAACCCTTTCATTGATCCATGCTCTTCCTACAACCGACAAATTTTACAAGTTCTCATTTTGAAATTAAAATTTTTAATATTTAATTATTTCTTTTATATTTTAATTATAATAATTCTGAATTCACGCCTATTATAGATACAATTTAAATATGTACCATTGTGCGAAATAAGTATTGTCCATATGACATGACTCTAACGATCGATAACACTTGAATATATTCTGTAGCTATATTTGAAAGTAATGTAGTTTTTAATAAGTTATATTCTCCAAGAAAACTTATTGATAAATCTATCCATTACGAAGTTTTATTATTATATTTGTTTTCATGATTGTATTATATTAGGAAAATAAAAGATACCTAAGCGAATTTTGAAATAAATGAGAATAAATATTCAGAGCCACCTAGAAACACCATGTCCTGGGTGCTGGTCCCATCTTATGGATGAACAACACCTAAGATTTCCGAAAATAAAACATTGCGTAGAATACTTGATCCGATGAAAAATGACACCAATGGAGAGTTTAAAATTCTACACAAAGCTGAACAAGAAATACACCAGATGAATACAAAAGAAGTATGTATTAGTATTCGATTGAAAGGAAGTTATAAGACTACGTAAATAATTAATCACTAAATATTTTCTAGTTTTGTCGAGGTCTTTAAATTAAATTTTTTAATGTGGACGAGGGTTCTCTATACTCGATTAGTTTCTTCATTGCTAGATAGAAGATGCGTTAAAGTCTTCAATTTTCTGATCTCCAAAGACGAACTGAAACTTTTGCACCATTTGATACAGGGGTGTCCATTAATCCCAAGGTCGATGGCTCAAGAACCTACCCCCTCCACCTCCTCTCAAGATATTTTATTGCTCACTTTTTCATACAAAGCGAGGTAAAGTAGAATTAGAAATGTCGTGGGTCATACTGAATTACACTTACTGCGGTCTGCTCCACATTTTCTTCTGGCCCCTCATTCTGAAAATTTTCATTCCGAAAATTCATAACCCCGTTAAATTCGCCCCCCTCAAAAATTCACAAAAAACCTCAATATATGTTCTTTTTTTTAAAAAGTTTTATAGCGCAAATAGTGTCATAAAACCCCCTTTCTGGACACTCCTGATTCGGCATAATAGTATCCGGCGTATGGTGCTTTATAACTAAACCGATCAAACATCAACCAATAATCATTGGTAAAATTTATAAATTGGATTTTGGATAGATAGAAAATAAACTTTATTCTGGGACGAGGTCCCTTATGAATAATAATTATGAACAAAAAATAAAAAACATATCTGACCAAAAATTACATTAATCGACATTAAAGAATATACACAGTATCTTCAGTGAAAGTATATTAAAACAAATAAAAAGTAACACCATTTTGAAAAAAAAAAAAAATAATAATATAAGCATAGGTTGATTTTTAAAATTAAAACTCAAACAATTTCAACAACCATGCACCTCAGTCAAAATTTGTATCATAATGTTTATTTCACTGTACAACGTCATTTTGGGGTATGAGAAGGAATTGGTAAAGATGATCTTTGAATGGGGATAAGGAAGAGGCATCGCGGATGTCAGATAGCAAGGAATTTCAGAAGGCAGTGGATCGGGCAATAAAGGAATATTCAAATGTCTTAGTTCTATGGCAAGGGATATAAAGGTCGGAAACACGGGACCTTATTATGATATACATGCACAACTATCCTACGGTAACCATCTCATCGTCTTGGGTTAATCTATTAAACGTCAGGACCATGTGGGTAAATATACCCATATGAAGGAAGTCGGAAGATGGCTGCAAAGGAAGTTATCAATAATTAATAGTTGTATAAGGTCAGTGAGAATGATGTCTTTGCCTGAATCAGTTATTGCTCCTTAAGAACTCATAAGGGATCTTATCGTGTCCAGTTATCAGATATAGCCTCGTCCTTTTATTATTTAATATTGGAATTGTACATACATGATTCACCAATGGGCAAATCTAATAAGCTTAATTAGTTAAATAGGGATAAAATGTGTGTCATTATTATAATTGATTACGAATTAAGTCCATTCTGTATCTTATTTTGACATCTCGTTTGTCAAAATCAACCGCAGCTGAGAGGTGAAGAAAAGATCTATATAGCATATATCAGATTATAAACAAGAATAACTCAGTAGAATAAACATCCATTCTATTGAAACATTGATGATCGTATGTACGTTCATAAACAGTTATCGGGAGGTTATAAATTTCAAGAGATCTAGATATTTTTATTGGTACTCTGTGGACGAGGTTTGATGCTCTGCAACTTTTATTTCATATCATTTTCTCTAAGAGGACTCATTTCCAAGCTGTGGAGCCATTTTTAGGAATTATAAAAAAAAATCTAAACAATCTAGCTTCTTTGGCTGTCTAAAGTTCTTCCGAGGTGGCTCGTGTTATTTTGGTTTATGTATATACAATACCCATATATACAAGTTTCAAAAATTCCCATATTTTTCGCAGGCGCATAGACGGATAAAATTAAATTTACTTATTCAATTTTATATGAGGTTCAATTTTCAACAACACGCTCCTTCATAACTAACATTCAAACTATGAGTAGTCTTTTTAGGGCTTGGTCCTTGGACTATAAGGGAAGAGTTTTATATTTATATTTAACATATATATAAAAATGTAATTTAGTATAAAAATTAGATGATTTTTTTGTCAGAGAAAAAAATATATAAATAATACAAATAGATTTCCTTGGTAGAAGAAATTCTTATTAAAAACTATAAAATAAATTTTGTTGAAAGCAGTGCAAGGAAATGATTTCCCTATTTACCATCAATCGCTGTAGCTACACCGATCGCCAATTCCAAGAGGATTTATAACATAACCTCAAATCTGCATATGTAAATTGACCCTAAGCTCCCTGCTTATAACAAACGCAAACTGCTAACTCAAACACATGCATATTCAACTACTTAGAACCGGGGATAAGTATTTCCACAACTAGGAGGGAGGAAACTTGTTTTTATAAAGTATAACAAAAATCAAAAATAATCCGTCTTTATACTTTATCAACATACCTTCTTTACTACTAAACGGTTGGTGGTACGTTATGAGTTTCAGGATTCCAGCATCCAGAGTTATCAACGCTTGGTTATCATGAATCTACAATATATAAGGCTTTCAGAAGCGATAAATTTTGTTATTGAAGGGA